TGAGCGCAGTGAGTACTGGAATGAGAGACATCAGGTTAGCTGATGTACGTGGTGCTGGTGCACCGCAACACTGTCTCTATAACTCTGGACCAGAACTTCCAAATCGTTCTGCCCACATGATGGTGGATCCTTCAGATGAGATGTTAAACCGATTTCCTGACTAGGAGAAAAGGGAGGTTGTACAGCATGGGCTCTTATCAAACCCAAGCCGAAGACTGCTCCCCATCAAGAATCTGTGAGCCTCGGCTCATTTGCGTTTTCCCCCAGTATAGCTCGCAATTTCCAAACTGCCAGTTGTTAATTTGCTCCATCCCTCAGTCCCCGAACTGCCTTGAAGATGAAGACATGACTTTGTCCTTCGAATGCACTTCCTCAGGCCACCTGCTCTTTCCCGGCTCGGAGTGCACAGACAGCTGAACACACGACGCCTGGTTAACCACAGGGGCCATTTCTGATCACAAGTCAAGTCAGTCCTCGCCATCTTTGAACCTGCCCGACCCCAGCGCCAACTGGACACGTCTGAACCTCTGCCCCACCCCGGTCTTAATAGACTTTGATAAAGGACTTCTGGTTTTGAGTTCTGACATTTGTGGCGATGGGTACTTCCATTAGTAATATGTTGGAGGTGCTTGCACATTATATTGTTATTTTATCATTGTTTTTAGTGCTGGGACATTTTTTATATGAGAGTCAAGAAATCAAATTGTATTATGTTTAATAATTCTATTTAAAGGTAAAATCTCTGTGCAAAAGGGGTGTGAAAGCTGTCAAAGACTATGCATGTAGACCTATGTATACAGTATGTTGCCATATTTTCAAATAATATGTCTTTCAGTGTCTACGGAGCGGTGGACAACAGCTGTAACATCCAATAGAGCCAATGAACTGGTGGTAGTTATTACTGATCAAAAGGCTCCAGGAAAGAGACAAAACCATTTTCGTTTCTTTTCTTTTTCTCTTTTTTTTATCTCTACCGAATAAAAGAAGAGTTACTGTGTGCTTGTTGAGCTACATACAGTGCTGGGATGTGGTTCACAACCAACAGAACTCAACATTCTCCATGAACCACATAAATGAAGCATCGCAAACGCTCCCAGTGAGCTGAGCCCTTTGATGGTGACGACTGTCTGCTTTCTTTACAAAGACCGACAGTATGCAGTTTCATGTTGAGCTTCAGATCTGTGCAAGACCCTTACATCCACTGGGCTTGAATATCGTGCACCAGGAAGAAAACTAATACGAGGAAGAGCACCTCGGAAGGAAATGTTGATCAACGTACTTGTTTAATTTGTGTTCGCTCTTTAAGTGTACCGAATCCTTCATTTTGACATCCATAATGTGTGCGTCTTAGGTTGTTTTGTTTGCTGTATAAGTCGATTATGCGTTATGCTGTAATCCAAACTGCTATACCACTCTGTAACATGTAACATTTTTAATAATATAATTTTAATAATAAAAATTAATAATAAAGATAATTGACCCTTTTTAGACATTTCACTGATCACCGGGCTCTGCTGCCCGAGTGTGCTTTGAGCAGGGTCTGTCTCAGGTCGCGTCATGCGTCCTGCTCTGGGTGAGTCACCCGTCCTCAGGATGATGATTAACATCTGAGAGCCGATCAGCGATCGGCGCTGTAGCTCTTCGGTTAACCAGAGCTCCCTCAGGGAAGTGCAAGCCCGGCCTTGTTGGGCACAGCGAACCAACACGTCACAAGCCACTAACCCGTTTCCTGCCCCCAGTGAGCAGCCGAGGGCATTCGAAAGGTTACAAACGAGAGGAGACCATCTGGAGAGGGGACGTCTGTCCTGTTTTTGTAGTTGGTGGCCTACTGGTCACGGGATCTCATCTAGTTGTGTCTTGAAGGGAGCCCGGGGTGTTGCACATCATGGCTGGGTAGCTTGTTCCATACTCCCACAGCCCTGTGGATCAAGAAGTGCCTCCTCCTCTCAGTTTTAAACACACTTCTACGTAGTTTCCACTATTTCAAAAACAAAAGATTCAGAAAAGGTTAAAAAAGGTGGGTGTAAACTCGGCTGCTCCAGCCCTGCTTTGAATTATTCCTTTAAGGTTAATGGAAAATGGGGATTTTTTTTTACAAGTTTGGCACTGTAACAGAAAAAAAGTGCTATTTGGACATACCTGTATACTGATCTTTTCCTGTATATTAACATAAACTCCTTTTTCCAATCGCACCGGAGTCTGGCCACAGACCTGCAACTGGAAGCACACTCTGCACACTGTGCTGTTGAACAATTTCCGATCAGTCTTCAGGTCCAATGAGTTGGAACGAATCTGGGGATGGCGATGGCGATGCCTCGTGTGATAAAAAGCTGATGACTGGTAATGACTCTAACTCAGATCTTGATAGGTCTCAGAATGAGGTGAAAGTTTGTATACAGACGTACTGTAGATATGTCCGTGTTTGCATTTACATTTCTTATTTCTGTGCAAGATCTGGGTTCAGTTCCTAGGGTGTTATCTGTTTGTATGTTCTCCTCGTGTTGCCTGCACGGTCTTCCTCTGTACATTCAATGTACTGTGTTCTCTATCCAAACCTGTCAATGGACTAAACAAGAGGGTTTCAATCATTCGATTCCACATTGCTAATTATACCTAGTGCAGTGGCACTGATTAGGTATACCAAAGAACATGGGCTTAGAAGCGATACTTTGGAAACTTGATCCACCTCACTTGATGTGACCTCAACGTTGAAAAAGCTAAGTTGATTTTTCTTATTGACAACAGAAGGAAAAAGACTCCCCCAGCGTACCACTGGTCACGAGGGGTCAATATATAGGAACAGTTGATCTTGGTGTGATCATCTCTATCAATCTTAGACAGTGCGCCTGCGTTAATGCAGCTATAAAAACTTGAACAACTGAAACGCTTTGGTGTGAAGCATGTTTTATCAAGGTAAGGTCATAATCTAAAAGTTACAATGTCTCGAACTGTGTCTCACCACGCCTAAGTCTACTGATGTTGATCAGTCCCTCTCGGACTATCATCTGTTTCTTCTTTTTCCATCTGTGAGATTAATTATATAAATGAATGAAAAAGAAGCTCTAGCCATTTTGAAAACATCTTCAGTTCTCATCCTTCTGATAAAATGTATCACGTCAGTGCTTGTAAAGTACTTGAGATGTACGTAATGTGTAGTGCAATGCAAAATGTGGGTCCAAATTGTTGTGTGCTACACTGAGCTGGTCCTGGGACACATGAGGTATGTATCTGTTTGTGGCCATGTGCTAGAGTCATCTTAGTATCCTAGTGCACAGTTTTTCAGCTCTGAATCAACACTGTAGTTTTCATTGGGATTATCAGGGCCTACAAACCTCATCATCGAATGATCAGGGTCTAACATCAGCCACTGTCAGTAAAACAGTAGAACAGATTCACCCAACCTCATCAGCGTCGGCTGTGTTGATTTTTAATACGATGACATGACAATTTAACGGCTGATCATTTTTTATCACAGGTCGGGTGAGATGAAATAAATGCAGGCAAATGCGCACAGACTCACAGCTGCGTGCCCCTTGTGAAAAACACAACTAGAAAGTGCTGAAGCTGCGCCACAGACTGGCAAAGCTTGAGCAAGCCCTGATCAACAGCCCCTGCTGCAGCACAGCACCGCAACAGAAGACTCTGCAAAACAGCCAGCCCGCTGCTCTGCAAGGATGAGCCAGCACGTGTTCTGATGTTATTAACTGTTTCCCAGTTTAAGACACAAGATCAGTAGCGTAGCACAGGGAATACCCACCCAGGTGCTTTCAACCTTCCTCCAATAATTTTCCTCAAGTGCTCCAGAGAGCCTCCTCTGCTCTTATAAACATCCTTTGTGGTACACCGTGGCGAAAGACATTGTGTCCATAAAGCTTAGAGATGAGTGGTATCAGCAAGAAACGGTACAAACTGCAGGAAACTATAAAAGCAAAGCAAGACAGATGCATAGATTTTGCCTGGAAAAAAGCATGCAAAAACAGCAACAGTACCATGCCTTCCAGATGAGCTGTGAGAGAACCAGACAGTGGTTGATTACGAAAGGGAGTTTGTGGTGTCAGGTACTGCAAGCATATACAGTACGTCAGTAGAGCACACAGGACATGTATCTTTAAGGTCCCTTAGGCAGGCTGTGAATTTCAAGCAAAGATTCAACCGAGAAGACCAAGGAGCTTTTAAAACATGCCAGGGATAAAGTTGTAGAAGGGCACAGATCAGGAGAAGGCTATAGAAACCCTTTAAATACCCTTATTATCTCTTTGAGTGTGGTCATATTTATCATTAAGAAGTGGAAGGTACACATATGTAGCCTAGATTAGGCTGTTTTTCCACGCTTTGAAAGGACAAAACTAGTTTTGCCACCATGAGGCCAAAAGACTTTGAAAGAGCTGCGGAGGTCAGTGGTTGAGATGGGAGAAAATATCCATGACTCCACAGTACCGCGGTCACTCAATAGGGGCAGCTTGCATCTGACTGCCCATAAACGTCTCAAACTCCGAAACAGTAAGACCAAGAAAGTGAATTTCCTGGAGTGGCCCAGACTTTAATCCTATTGAGGATGAGACCTGAAAACTGCTGTTCATGAGTAATCCCCAAGCAACATGGGAGAGAGAGCCTGAGTGAATCTGACAAGAAGAAAGGACAAGAGCTGCACCAAGCCACTAGAACCATCCTCACGATACTTGTAGCTGAAATTGGCAGTAGTGGTGAGGGGTGTGGACTGCAGGATTGCATAAGTCCTTATTATACCGCTGTTGTACCCTTTAGCAAGGTACTTCACTCAGATTGGCTCAGTAAAATATGTTTCAATGAGTACGGGTGTAAGTCACTGTTTATAATAGTGTCAAGCAAATGAAAAATTGAACAACAAAAATGAAGTAATTATGCATCTAAGCATTGTCTTAGAGACAGAAAAGAACATGTAAGGAGGACACTAATATGTCTATAATAAAGACATTGACAGACCAATCTTGTGGTGTTATGAAAGAAGTGGTTCAAAAATATTTTGTTGAGATCAGTTTAATGATTTTACCTGAAACATGCGGTATGACAAAAGAAAAAAGAAAACAGATCTATACAAAATGATGTTGTGGTGAAGTATAGCAGAGCTGTGGTATCCTTCAAGACCATATTGGAAATATTATAACAGCAAATCGTTCTGATTTACACACATAAATAGTGACAATATGAGAATTTGACAAAAATATCTGTACACAGTAACGTTAGAGTTACATTAACTAACTCACTTATAAAAAAAATACAGCAAGCAACATTTTTGTCGATTTTTAATGTGAAAAAGACAAAAAGAGCTGCTACTACCATAAATATAGTTTAATTTTACTTCTGTGACATTAAGTGTTTTCTTGCTGATGTGTTGAAAACTAGGACATGACTGACCTGCGACAGAACAGACTCTTTATCTTACAGCAAAGAAGAACCATGGTTTAAAGCCTCTGTAAAGATCAAGCATGTGTATGCGTTGTGTGCACGAGATACACAGCGGAGCTGAATGTCAGCCTTGAAGAAGATGTTTGAAAATCCATCTTTGGCTGACGCAAGCCTCTGCTGCCCATATCATTGACCTATCTGGCAACCCAAGCCTACAACAACAACAGACTGAAATGCTTTTAAAGCCTTATAAACCCTACATTTTAACCTTGGAAAATGAGGAACGCAGAATGTTCCATACTGTTCACATAAATTTAGTCTGATAAATGTTCAATATTAAAACACCTTTTTCAGTGTGCTAGAAATTCCATATTCCTTGACACTGGTTAATTTACATGTCCTTAAAAAACGTCCTCCATCCAAAGCCGAAATCCGTAAAAGTCTTTTAAACAGCACCAGTTCAAAGTCAAAGAACCACATTCGAGCATTTTAGCTTCTTGAACGTTAATGTTACAATGTTAAATTCTATTAGACAATATCCCTAGTTCTGATATGAGGCTAACGATAAATATCATGGTGTCAAACACAATAGCTGGGAGGTGTAAATTAGTGCAGGGACAATGGCCACAGAACTCAATACAAGAAAGAAGGGATGTGTCGAGTCTACAAGATACACATCCGTATAGTCAGTCCTCGTTCTGAAGGATACACCGTTGATGATATTCTGAAGGGAAACAGTCAAAGCATGAGACTCCTTTACATATACAGTTACAGACATCAATAATATCTGGAATTACAGCTGGTGAATTAATGTACATTCTTATAAAGTACCTTGAATTACCTGTCTAATGACCGTGGTCTATTTTACATATATTGCCTCGCGAACCACAGTTTACTGCATGAGAACATAAAAAATGATTTTCCAATTCATAAAAATAGATAGAATATTTTTTTGTTTGCTGCAAGTCCATTAATTTACTGTTCCTTTTAAATGTCATAAAACACGTATGTGTAATCACAGTAGTGCTGTTATTTTTCTCACTAGCAATATTGCCCCAAGTCATACAAAGGCAGTTTAATCAGAGCAAGTCGGGACAAGTCAGATTTCTAATGCAAATTTCGACGAACGTCTGACGCCGCGACGTGGAATTCACACTACGCACGAGCCTACTTAAACTGATGGAACGATAAAAAGAAAGTTCCGTTTTTCGGTCGGACTTTTTTCGTTCGTGTTTAAATCTGTGTGAAGTTTATCAGGCTCGTTCGGCGGGGTGACGACTGCTATCTCGTTAAGTAAAACGCGAAACGGGGCGCTTCCTCTTCCTCCGTGCAAGTCACTCCACTGCCCGTCGTTCCTGGGGCGGCAGCTACTGTGAGCCAGTCTCCGCACTTCCCAGATCGGCACTGTGACCTGGTACATAGCCCTCCCATGAAGGGGCTGGTTTGGTATTGGCAACGGAAAGGAAGTCGTTAAAATATCTTGCACTGGTTCACGTCGAAGAACCTCCTTCTGTTTTGCTTTTTGGTCTGGTTGACAGCGGTCCGCACCGCGCACTCGAACACCTGCTGCACCCCCCGGTTGCTGAGGGCCGAGCACTCCAGGTAGCCCTTGGCTCGGATGTCGTGGGCCAGCCTCTTCCCCTCAGCAGAGGTGATGCAGTGGGCCCTGTGGGGCCCCATCTCCCGCTGGTCCGTCTGCGTCGCCACCACCAGCACCGGGGTCCGCGGCAGGTTTTCTCTCACCTCGCTGATCCACTTGTGGCGCACGTTGACGAAGGAGGTGTGGTTGGACACCGAGTAGCACAGCAGGATCACGTCGGCCTGCTGGTAGGACATGGGCCGGATGTTCTTGAAGGTGTCGCTGCCCGCGGTGTCCCACAGTCCCAGGCTGATCTGTATGCCGTCCATGAACACTTCCACGCCTGTGTTCTCGTACACCGTGGGTGTGTAGCAGTCCGGGAAGGTCTCGGAGGTGAAGCGCACCAGCAGGGCGGTCTTGCCTACTGCCGTGTCGCCGACTAAAACGCACTTGATCGAGTTCATGGTTTGCTTGCTCTGCCTGGAGTCTTTCTCGCGGAAAAGGGGGATGGAAAGGGGACAGCTCCAGGCACCTGAAGGGCTGGGTTATCGTCTAGCGCAGAACATGCACTCCCACTGTGCTTCCTTGGGCCTGGGATTGAACCGTGAAACTATCACTCCGTTAAGATATTCCACAACTGGTCATTGCCTCCAGAGCAGGAACACGAAGACACCTGCAACAAAATTGAAACGCACATTACTGTATGAACGAGAAGCTCATCTGTAACGCTGGCACTGTCTAAATCTGGTAACTTCAACTCACTGCTCTTTGTCTGCGTACTATCCCATTGAGTGTACCATACAGCAGGGCGCCTCATCATTTCTCATCAAAATTAATATAATTTGCCCGTAGACAACAAAGTGCGGGATAAACTCCTTGAGATATATATAACCGTCTGTATTCTGTTTCTGTCTGGTGGTGTCCTTTGTTCTTATTGTTCGGTTCGGAGTTGATTTTCTCTTTGAAAATGTCATTTTCGGTTTTGCGGTGTGCTGGGAAAATCCGAACCCTCGCACCTCCACTGTGCAAGGGCATGCAAATGAACAAACCCCTCGTGTGTATTAGTGCGGCGCAGCGCCCTGTCACAGAAATCCTCGGTGTTTTCAGAGGGAGTCAGTATGTGCAAAACGAACAACTACTCCGTGGAGCTGCTGGTGCAGCAGCTATTGCAGTCACAGCAGGCCCTTTGAAACAGTATATAAGAGGACGAGTCGAAACAGCTTGGTGCAGATACAGACCTTGAGCAGCTCACACGCAAATCTACAACACACTCTTGTCACCACAGCTCAGGAAGTTACCCTCCGGACATCGAACGTGAACATACATCACAAGCCTTAATTCACAGCCTGTCACTAATCCCTCTGCAGCAGGCCTTCAGAGCTCACGTCTGCTGATTATTTCTTTTTTCAATAACAGTAATACTGCAAACAATCAAAACGCAGTTTTCTGTAAGGATCCATAAATCAGAAGGAGGCCAGAACAGGTTAGGAGATACATCATGAACAATATTAGCATCCATGCATCTGAGTGGTACAATAATCGTATAATAATTTTTAAGCAGCCACCAATTAAAGGAAATCGTTTTTTTCCATCGTCAGGCATTTATTTCTGTGGTTCACATCAGTACTGTATTGGAGCATATTATTATGTGTGAGAGCGAACTTGTGGAAAGAGAGATATTCTATCCACATTGACAGTAAGTGGCACATCCTCTTAGGTCGAAACAGTGGCAAGAAAGATGGTGCTGTATAGATGGCCCTTAAAACTAGTTGACTCGAGCACAAGGGTTACAGAATTGTGAGGAGCAGCTGCAGCAGTATTTTCCCCCAAAGCCAATTAAAACGCTGTGTTCATTCCCAACCCAATCCAGTCCAATGGCACACCAGGCCTGGTACATCTCTAAGACTGACTGTGGTAGTCATAATGAACAAGGAAGACTTGTAATCTGACACTGCTCCAACTGTGTACATCGGTGTTTTCCTTTCTGGTGGCCTGGTAGACCTAAGGCTGTGTGGGGACTCCTGACGCTGAAGCCGGAGGTGGTCAGGCGATCACGAAACCTTGTGCCCCAGTTGCTGTGAGCAGAAAAGTGCAAGAGGTCAAAGGTCCATATCGCCTGGTGTGCAGGCAGGGGCCTCCTTTTAATGCCAATTACTTGAGTAATTAAAAACGATTCAAAACTTGCCCCACCTGTACATTCATTTTTCTTACTAGGGTTTTGATGATCAGTTTGATAGATCCATCTATAGTCTTTGAATTGAAATGGTTTCAAAGTTGAAGAGGGTTTTGTATTCTTTAGGCTGAAAATTGACTTCTTATATTCCCCTCAATCAGTTCCACTTTGGTAGGAAGTTGCAACAGCACAGCTCGGGGCTTGTCAGGAGAGATGGGGTTTCTTTGTCTCAATAATGACAGAGGAGCTTTTGAACACAACAGCACAACGTACATACTTTATCTTATTACTGTACAGGCTATCAGACAGTTTGGTTCCTTAAATAATAATTACATGATCTTACTCTGTGACACTGAATATTGAAAAAGAAAAGTAAATATTTCTTCATATTAATTCAATCGCTTCGTACAGTACCACTTGCACCTACAAATACGCATGATTCCAGATATTATAATTATGGCATCAAGGAAAACATCTAGAGCTGTGAGAAAAAAATAATTTCATTTTCATTAAGAAACTATTTTTGCTGCTTCCACTTATGCATTTTTATATATATTTTTTTCCACACAGCAACATAAATTGAGATGGCTATGTACATAGCTGAAGCAAAAAGCTAATACTGAGATTAAGAAATTTGAAAGGAAGTTCAGCACATTCAAATACTATTTGCCTTCACCAGACAATTGTGTTGCAATATCAGCGGGCTTTACACTGGCAGTTCAGAAAGTAACACCGCAAACCTTTCTCTGGAAACAAGGCTTCCTTTGGTGAAAAACAAGACTACACATCGAAATGACCCAAGAGTATTTGAATTGCCAGTGTGTTGGTGTAACTGCAAAAAAGCAAAGGGTAAGAAATACTGTAAAAAAATAAAACCACGTGGATGGTTTTCCTCTTCAAAAAGAAACTGACACCCGCATCTGAACCTGAACAAAATGTGTTGCTTCATAAACTTTCTTTTGATAAGACTTTATCAAGCCTTTTGGTTTATACCGAGTGTTTCAGATGCACTTGGTTATTTCCTCCCTAGACCTCGTCTGACCACTCCACACCTGCAAGATTTACGCCAAGAGCAGCTCATTCTGCTCTTTGTTTTCATTCACACAAAACCGAGATGAAACATAGCCCTACCCGATGTACTGTACAAAATGCTTTTCAAGTTTAATACCTCATAAAACAATTCATAAAAAAATAATTCAGTGCCTTTTCATGATACTTTGAATACATGTAACCAAAAGGTGTACGGCATGAGCATATACTTTTAATGCCACATGAATTAAACAGAACAAAAAAGTCATTCATCCTAAAAAAGTCAAGTTGATATTTTTCAGATGTCTATCTAAATAATGTTTCAGGTCCCTGTGTTTTTCAATAATGTCAGTTAGGGAAATGTTTGTTTTACTTACTGTAAAGAGATTTATTTTGTCCAAATTGTAAACCTAGGTCTTTTCTGTACAAACATCACTTGTGAATAACGCCTTGGTAGTGGAATAATTCAGAAAGACTTTTCTTCCTAACAATTAAAAGTAGGAAATTTAAACCTGTCTGTACAAAAAGTTGTATGTGCTTACTGGCCTGTAAGGTTTTTCTCTGGACTCTGTGGTCCACAAGTAGAAATTACTGGGATTCATTTCTCTGTGGAGCTGAATTGTACATGAATTTATTATAATTTATAATTTTCTTTTCTGACTAGTGGCACAACTACAAATAGTGGCGTGATTTTATTTTACTTAAGTTCTGACATGTTGCTCAAAAGACTAGAGTCTATTTCCAAGCATCTAAGGCAAACCACCCCCAATTATTTATAACATTTGCTGTCAGAAAATCATCATGCTAATTTTAAAAAATGTTTCAGTTGTAACTATCCTTCTTGTTTATAAATGACTATCATACATTACTTGATATATATATATATTATGCATCATGTTTTTTATTGCTGGTGGGGCAAATTGCAATATCGCTACTTGTCAAAAAATGATTTTAATTTAAGTTCTTGCAGCATTCGGGCTTGTGTCAAACTGTATTACTTGAAAGTAAATATTTAAAACATTTTACACACTTAGTAAAATATTAAGTTTCCTGATCAGGCAAGAATATGGCACGTTTTTCTAGAAAACGATGTAAAGCTGGTAAAGTTTGTAAGGAGGGAAATTTCACACAGGAATTCACTCTCTCTGGGTGCCAATTTATCAGTTAACCCAAGTGAACCTCATTATTACAGTTTTTTTAAAGTTTGTGTTTAGGTGTATTGAATGGTGATCATTATGTTTTTTTTTTACAATATCAGTCCCATTATTAGTATAACAAAAAACACTAAAAATATAAAACAGCAACTGGTTAGTAGCTTATTCTTTTTCACCTGCATTTAAAAAAA